GAGATATATCCACCCATACCTACTTCTATATATATCTCTCTACATACACACACATATATGTGTAGATAGGGGTATCTATCTATATTCCTCTCGCGATATGTGTACATATACACTGATATTATATGCGACACATATATATCTATATATATATGTGTCTCACATATATATACATATATCTATATATATATATAGGGGAGAGTCGCTATATATATATGGAGGGTTATATATTTATGTTCATGTGTATGGGGAGACATATATAAGTAGTATATATGCATACCTCGGCACTCTATTTATACACACGTGTCACACACACACACACACACACACACACACACACACACACACACACACACACACACACACACACACACACACACACACACACACACACACACACACACACACAAACGCACGTATTGGATGTGCACGAGCTCTTCCCGCAGCGGGCGGCCGAGGTTCTCTGGCAGCTGGCACTTGGCAGGGTTCACGCCAGAGTCATACAGCGTAAAGTGCGTCCCCACCACATTCGCCCTGTGTGCAGTGGTGGCAAGGGGCGAAGGTTGCAGTGAAGGATAAAGGGAGGTGGAGAAAATGGTGAGGAAGAGACAACGAGGGAACGACTTTACAGTGCATCAAATGCGCAAACAACACACCCTGATACACACGAACACACATATCACGCACTTTATACACACATGCACACACGTGCGCACACACACACTCTCTCTCGCATACACACATGCACGCCCCCATATTACACGCGAATACGCACCTGAGTTTTGCTGCAAAGTCGTCTGAGGAGCGCGAGAGGTGTTCTGGGTTGGTGGAGATGACGTAATAGCTTGACTTTGCCCGCTTCCTCTTTCGCGCCGCCAGAATCGGTTGCTGGTCACGCGATGCGCAAGTGATGGGGTGCGTGTGAACATGCGTTCAACACCAAGCGGTTCAAATGTACAGCACAACCTTTCCCCCAAAACACACCGCAAACATACACATGCACACACACACAAACACACTCACACGCACATACACATAACACATATACACACACACCTTGCTGAGCTGCCCGTCCTCTGATTCGAGGAAGAGGTAATACGTGGGAAACACGGACTTGTCCATGGACGACTTGTCGCGAACAATGCGGCACATCACCTTCTGCCCCTCGGGCGCCGTCCTGTCGTGCCGTGGTGAAAGGGGATGGGGAGGGGTGTGAGCAGAAATGATGGAACGTGGTGGCTATGAACGAGACATGGTACGCGTGCACACGCGTGTCGCGCAAGGTGCAACGTGCACACATACACACACGGTCAACGACACAGAAATGCACATACACACACGCACACGCATACACCAGTGCTGCTGCTCACTTGAATGGAAACTCTGCGTCCAATTCCAGCTTTTGCGTCTCCATTCTCTGAGGTGGTGGTGGAGGAGGAGGTGCAAACGGGTCACAGACGTCAGCACTTCACGCAATCAAGCGGCCAATTGTACCACACAAGGACGCAGACAACGACCCACACACGCACGCAGACAACGACAGAGAAAGGGGGTCCTATACAAGCCGACAAGCCCACACGCATGTACGCACCGCTTGCACTGGCGGCTTTGTGGATTGCGCAAATGCCATCTGCGGTCCCGACTGATCCGGCTGCCACACGCACGCACACGCACACGCACACGCACACGCACACGCACACGCACACGCACACGCACACGCAAACAACCGAGAGATGAAGGAAGCTTAGAGACGTCAATGCACGACATCACGACATACACACACATGCACATGCACACACACACGCACATGCACACGCACATGCACACACACGCACATGCGGAACCTCCCCCCCCCAACACACACACACACTTTTCCCCTTCCCTCCATCTCCTCACTCAGGCAAATCGTCCCCACCTGCACCTCCCAGCGCCGGTCCTTGGGGTCATATGTCTGCTCCAGCCCGCTCAGCTCAAGCTTCTTCTCAAAGATGCTCTTCTTGTTCTTGTCGTCCTTCTTCTCGCGCGTCTCAACCAGCTCCATCTCCTCCATGTCAAACTGTTTGCCGCGGTGGCGGTGAGGAGGTGGGAGAGTCATCGCAAGCACGTGAGCTTGCCAGGCAAGAAAGGAGACATGCACACCTCACAATTGACAGGAGCGAGCAAAGCAGCGATGCACCAGAGCACAGAACACATAGCATGCGCAGGCTGTAGCAACGAGACGTGGTTGCAATTGCACAATTCAGCAAGCCCATGAGCAAGCACGCGCGTGTGTCATGACACGAACTGTAGACGCACCGGCACGACGGGTGTGACGAGGGCTGCGTCTTTGGCGGTATCGGGCCGCTGTACCAGAGGTGTATCATCTGCATGCATCACCAGATGTAAAAGCATCAATGACAGCAAACACACAACAGGCGCAAGGCAAGGCGCGAGAGAAGGCGCAAGAGCAGGCGCAAAAGCAGGCACGGGAACGGACACAAACACGCGCGCGCATAAACACGCGCGCATACACACTAAAAACACCACCACAATCACACACGCAAGCAACCTTGTGCTGACGATGTTGATGCCGTTGGTTTTCGGCCTGCCGATGACATTGGGCGGCGTGGCTTGTTGCCTGTGGACATGATCAGCCCTGGCTGGTTCTTCTTCTGCTCACACAACCGCATCGCATAGAATCGAGTTGACCACAAGAAGGGCACCAACACAAACGCGCACGCACACGCACGCACACCACACGCACAAGCGCAAAAACACAAGCACAAACATGCACACGCACAAGCACACCACAAACAAGCACAAACATGCACACGCACGCACCGATCCGCGCTTCTTTGCCATGAGCTGGCGCCGGCTGCTGGCCGTGGACGGCCGCGATTCCTGTCTGTGGTGAGCACAACAACCATTCGCGCAGCGCACGGCAAGTGTATGTTCGTCGTGAGCATGGGCTGTGGTGTCCCTTCAGAAAGACCTGTCTCAATCACACAACCAATCCATTCCTAGCACAGCACACATCACACACACACAACACACCGACACACACACATTCACACACACATTCACACACACACACATTCACACACACACATGCACAGAGTCTCTCAACAACACAAACACAAGACATCACACAACCGACTCACTCCCAATCGTCGCTCATGTTGGTGTTGGTTGTTGTTTTGCTTCCTCCTTCGCTTCTCCTGTCTTGGTGTGCTTCCGGCGAGAATTTTATGTACGTCTTCTAACAATAGTCGAACCAAATTTTCGTTGCTGGCAAAAACAAACAAGCAGGAGCAGGGAGCAAGACGAGCAAAAGCACACACACACACACACACACACACACACACACACACACACACACACACACACACACACACACACACACACACACACACACACACACACACATACATACATACATACACACACACACACACACACACACACACACATGACCGTCGCCATCATGTGACGCGTGCAACCCCACGTGCAGCAACGGGCTGTTTGACAAAGTTGTGATTGAGAGTGGCCCACCAAGTGCGTGGACGTACAAGACACTC